CTAAAGTGCTCTCGTCTTTGAATATGTATTCATTGGTCGATGTACAATGCAGCACTGGAGATCGAGCAAGACAAGATAGAGAACAAGTCTTTGTCTGAGGCTATAGAATGCATTTGTGACTTTAACCAGAGCTGTCTCTGTGCTAAGATGTGTTTCTAAGCCAGACTGAAAATCTTCAAATAAATATTGTGTTTTTAAGTTAATCACAACCAACTGTTTTTGCGACTGCTTTCTTTCAGAAATTTTGAGAGAAAGGGAGATTAGAAATAGGTCCTATATTGGCTAAAACCTCTGGATCGAGGTTGTGGGCTTTTAGAAGCGTTTACACTGCTACTTTGTAGATTGTTGAACAAATAGCCTGATAATAAAGAACATATTCATAATATTTAAAGAATGATAATTAATGGAAAAACTTATTTTAACAGCTTAGTTGGAATCGGGTCTAAGATACACGTTGATGGTTTAGAAGAGAGAATCATTGAATTTAATTGTTCAAGGTTTATGGCTGAAAAGCATTCTAATGTACTATCTAGTAGTGTAATATTAGAACTTACCTTTCTACGTTTCTAAGCATTTACTTGCACTATATTGTTCTGTTTATCTGTTTTATTGTGTTGCATTGTTGGATGAGACTATGACCTAAGATTTTCATCGTCATAACTACACTGTAGCTATGACAAAAAAAAAACCTTGAACCTTGAACCTTGACTCCAGAAAAATGCCTTTTAATTGCAACAGATCTTGGTGGTGAAAGATGATGAAACGAGAGCCTGTTAAAATCAGCTTATTTTTGCTGTCTCCAGGGCTCTTTGATCTGTCCCAGAACTATTTCAAACCCTGAGGCTGTTGCTCAGAGTGCCGAAAGCCCTCTGGCACGTACTTGTTTCCCATCTGACCGGACGGTGCCTTATGGAGGCTGCACTTATTTGCTCTGTACCATTTGAACTGGAGCACCCTTCATTATGTTGTCACAGGTCACAAACCCTGACTCTCATCTTGCAGCCAGAATGCCGCAGTGTCAGGATATTTACTGGAAAGATTGAAGATAATGTCTTCATGCACAATGAGAATGCCTGTGAGGATTATTATAGTAATAAGCAACACAACAGAAACAGATTACAGCCCAAGGCTATGTTTAGGGATGGGCTTGGGTGAGAGCCATACTGTATGCTACATAGTCTGCAGAATACCAAAGGAAACCAGATCCAGTACGGCTCTCTCTACTCTTTCTATACTTTTTTACTTACATTTGTGGATATTAAAGGGGGACCTATCATGCAAAATGCACTTTTTCATGAGTTTTATCAGAAACTTTGCTACCAGAAAAAATACCAGACATTTTCTGAAGGTAATTTGGACTGTGTTTGTATTAGCAAGCATCGCTAACACTCAGAGCTAACCTGTACTGGAGAGAGTATCTGAAAAAAAGCAGGAAATAAGAAAAAGGAACTCACTTGTGGTAAACCCGTGAGAGAAAAAGCATTTGAGCTCCATACTGTTTCAGAAATAATCCGTGATGTGGTTTGGAACATGATATGGCATTTAATCACGGCAGCATTTAGCTGTATCTCGTAGTATTCTGAGCAGGCACAAGCTCCCGCTCCTCTTTTCTTTTTTTAAGCTAAGGACCCAAAATCAGCGTTTCTCTAACAGGGCTGGAATAGAGGGGTATGAGGGATGTCTAAAATGCATGATCTGTTTGGTATTTTGAGCAAAACAGATCACAGACATGTTTTTTATATATTTTTATATATCTGAGACCCATAATATATGCCTAAAAATAGCACAATAGGATTCCTTTAAATCAAATGTGTTGATTGTTGTTGTTTTCTTTTGTTCAGGTTCTTAGCTCCTCTCGGTCCAACACAAACCACAACATGCTCTCCATGACCCTGAGCACAGTGGAAGGAGCTGCTCCGGGCTCCATCATTGGCTCGGTCCGCCCTCATGACCACCATGAATCTAATGTGTTGGAAGGTCAGGTGACCTACCTGGTTGTGGGGGGGACAGACCAAGATGGCACTTTCATGGTGGACCGATTAAAGGGTGATGTGTATCTGGTGCGGGAGCTGGACTACGAGAAGGGTTCGAGGTACATGCTGCACATCGAGGTGTCTGACTTCTCCAAGGCATTTCCCAGCAGCCACCTGGTGCAGCTGGACATCATCGTGCAGGACAGCAATGACCATTCCCCCCAGTTCACAGAGGACCCCGTTACCATTGTGATCCCAGAGAACTTAGACACAGGGGCTTCCATATATACATTCCAGGCTTTGGATCAGGTGGGAACCAAATATGTTACATGCTAAAGAAGAAGTGTGATAACCATGGATTTATAGTTTAAACTCTACTTACAAGTTATTCGGAAGGAATTTTCTTAGATGTCATCATGTTCTTCCACTGATTCATAATTTTGCTGCAACTCCATCATATACAATGTTGTTGTTTGTTTTTAATCTGTAAAGCCCACTGAGGCAAACGTGTTTTGTGATATTGGGCTATACAAATAAAGTTTGATTTGATTTGATCAAATTCTGAGATAAGGATGGAGTATTTTAGGGACAAAATAGAAAAGGAAAATATTTTCTTCAAGACCAAAACACATTTATCACTTGAGATTTTAAGTCAATTTCTTTGCTGTATCAACATTTCCTCTCACCGTCTGATTTAATTAATTTTATTTTTGACAGGATGGTAGTGGACCCAATAGTGAGTTGCATTACTCAATTGAGCACCACTGGCCTGACACTCCAGACCTCTTGACCCTCGACCCCTCAAGCGGGGTCCTGACCCTGGGGCAGAAGGTAGATCGTGAGTCAACACCCTCCCTCTACCTGGTGGTGCGTGCCACAGATCAGGCAGTGGATCCTTCTCAGAGGCGCTGGGGTTCAGTCACTGCTCGAGTGTTTGTGACGGACGAAAACGACAACGCTCCGATCTTCAGCTCTCCGTCTGCGGTCAGCGTCATGGAGGATCAGCCTGTAGGGTGAGAGACATGTCTAACTGATTCTTCATCTGTCATTCAAGGACAAGAACACCCAATAATTGTGCTGAAAAGTCTCCACTGTTATGGCCCCGAGCTAAAAGTGGTCGTGTTAATCTAACGTTTGTATTTCTACTGCCAGGTTTGTGATATTGTACGTGATGGCTCGAGACGAAGATGAAGGAGAAAATGGCCGAGTATCATACAGAATCCAGACAGGGAACAACGCTGGCCGCTTCAGTCTGAACCCCAACACTGGTAAGCTTATTTTTAGCGTGAGAGTTGACTATTCAAAGATATCCTAATGTTCCAATAATATATAAAGGTCTGTGGAAACTGTGGATTTTTCATGAATACCCAATTTACACTCCATCAAGCGATGATTAGGGTAAAATTCACCACATCATTTTGTGCATTAACAATCCTTTGAATGATTTAACACAATGGGAGTAGTATGTGGCCCTCTGCTGTAAGGGTTTTATGATTGATAGATAATCAGCATCCCACCCGTGGAAGCCCCCTGGATGAACAAAACTTTCCACAAGATCGTAATTACCCAATGAAGTGCTGTTTCTACAGGTTTTCAACTGTTAAAACACTCATAACCCCTTTAACACTCTTTACTAAATGATCTGTCAAGGCCTGAGAGCAATATTTCACTTGAGTAATACTTCAGGGTTTTTTACTTGACGGGTTTCTTCATGGGAACTGATCTTAATTTGGGCTGTGGATGTGGACACCCTTTGATATGTTATATATGTGTATGTGCAATGTCTTCATCATCAGAGCTGATGGAGGCGTACTAAGCACCGGCTGAGATGGGATTAAGAACCATGAGACAGACACTTAATGCAACTTCCAGATGGAAGAAAGTCTTTAGTTCATTACTGTCAAGTGTCTGCTGCATTAGCGGGTTGATTTCACCTCTGGTTTGTTTCTCAGGCTGTGTGTTCTTAAGCTTATTGTTAATAATAGCGGATTAGCATTGTCTTGCACAGACATTTACCAAACTTCTTGGATTATATGAGAGTATCAATAGTATGAATACTGCCTATAAATTGTGTGTTTGCTCTATATTTTATTCTACATAAGTTTGTTCCATCATTGAAGCCACGTCAGAGCTGCATGGATACAAACGACATGTGCGCAGGACTGCATTAGATTGAAACAATATGTCTGTATTTCTGTGAAATTCAGTCTGATATAATTAGTCTCTCTAGAAAACCTTGAGAACTACTGCAGGACTAAATAAGGGTTTTGTGTGAGTTTGAGCATATTTACTCCAGAGAGTAATAACACCTTTATCGTGTGGTGAATGCTGTATCAGTAACAAAGAATTGGCTACAGAAGAGAATGAAACCGTAAATGTTTTACATCTGTTTGCATTTGGCTAAAAACCAATGGAGCTAGCAAAGCCTCACAGGAACATCAGAGCCTCAGCTTAACACACCAGTAAACACACAATGAATAGGTTTGGCATGCTGCAGCATTAATAAAATACACACATCTTTTCAGCTACATTATACAATGTTGTGTATTGTACACACACTTTTATATTTCCTTTCACTTTGACTGACCATCATTGTATTCAGGGGGGTGACAGTTTCGAGCTGTTGGCATTAAAGGTAGGGGAGTAACTGAAGCCAGAGTCTGAGTAGTGGTGGTTTTTCTCAATAATCTATGTGAACGAGTTACATTAGTAATGTTTAAGGGCTAACAGATACTGCAATTTAGTACAGAGCAAAACAAAAGAAGTACATTTTAATAGAGGTCAAAGGTTGATTATAGTTGGCTACTATGTACTTTCAGGTTGTAGTCTGGACTCTGTGTGTGGTTGCCTGAGTACCTGCACACACAATAATCCTACATGTTCACTGATAAAAAGCTCTGATTCACATTTGTATGCATTTTCAAAGTTCAAGAACTCATAAGCTTGGCTGTGGTCTCTCACTTACTGTGGAAACTCTCATAAAGCAAAGCTGTAAAGGTTTATTTTTACTAGTCCTTCCAGGCATACAACAACTGCCTCTCTCAGGTACACACAATTTCACGTTCACAAAAATAATCCGACACACATTCAGACCCGAACACACCGACACACACAATTCAAGACCAAGGCATTCCACTTGAGAATAGGTATTTAAAGTGAAGTAATCCAGGAAATGGGGTTTAAAATAAATCCTCTTTTCTCTTTTGTAGGTTCTCTCTCCATCCTTAAAGCACTAGACCGAGAAGAGCAGGAGGTGTTTAATCTGACCATTATAGCAGAGGATCATGGGATGCCTCAGCTTTCCACAGCTCAGGTGCTGAGTGTGCAGGTGATCGATGTGAACGATGAAGCTCCAATATTCCAGCGGGCAGAGTTTGAGGCCCAGGTGATGGAAAACCAAGGACCAGGAACAACCGTGCTGAAAGTTACTGCCACTGACCGGGACCAAGGTTGGTTTGCAAAAGAAAAAAGAAAGAACCAGGCTCTGTTCACTTACTACTAAAATTCACTGTAGCATTGAATGATTAAAACGTTACAGCTGATTCATATGATCTACATATGCCTCCAGTTTGCCCAGAAGGCCACAGAATGAAACAATAGAGGCACATAAATGGTTCTGTGAACATAATGACTTTAAACCAAACCACATGCTCATGCTAATGAAAATGTGTGGTCACACACGTTCACAGCCTCATATTTCTGCATTGGAATTTGCTTCAAGTTTGCCCTGCCTTTTTTTCTAATTTATGTCTGATTTGTGTTTCAATGCAGGTTCTAATGGCCAAGTGACGTATGGAGGTGTGACAGAGGAAGGCTTCATCATCAACCCTATGACAGGAGTCATCACCACTACGAGGGAACTAGATGCAGAGCTCCAGGATCACTACACACTCACTGGTATTATTATATTCATCGTCTCAAACAAATACATTCAACTAGTTATATACTAATGTTCAAGCTCATTAAAGTACCTTATATTAAAATGTTGTATTGGTTCCAACTTCTCATCAGCTAAACAATGTGCATCTCTTTTCAGTTTATGCCAGGGATGGAGGTCTGCCTTCTAACTTTGCCAAGGCTGTAGTCCGTGTGGCGGTGCAGGATGTAAACGACAACACTCCAGTCTTTGCACAGTCATGGTACGGACTGGAGGTGCCAGAGAACCAGGCGCCCGTTGAGCTTTGCTTCCTCAAGGCCACAGACCCTGACTCAGGTCCTGGAGGAGAGCTGGGGTACAGGATCACTGGTGAGGAACAGCGTTGTGTGTGTAACCAGAGTATTTTATTATAATTGATTTAAGGGGCAATTTAGTTCACCATAATTGCTGTAATTGCTGTTTGAGGGTGTGTCGGATGGGGAAATAACAATATCCTGGGATAGTCAGTCAATTTTTGTCATTTTTGGTGTTTACAGTCTTAAAACTGTGGAGTTTAAATTAAGAGATTGTTGACAGATTATTACAGTTGGCACTGTGTGTTGTTCGTGATATGGTTATACTGAGAGTGTGCAGGATTCGATTGAGAGGCTATACATGGAGCATTCAATCTAATGTTTTGATTTTGACAGTTCTCTTTCCCTCCCATATCCAAAATCCGATCTTGCTCATGACTTTCTTTTGTCTTATTTCAAACAAAGTATGTTTCATACGGTTTGGAGCCCATTCAAACTTAAGTGCAGTGTTGGCACAGATGTTTTGAACATTATGACCACAGAAATTCTTGGATTCTGAAAGTTTTTCTTTCTTTTCCCAAAAAATTCTCCATCCAGCTGGAGACCCTGATGGAGATTTCCACCTCGAAACAAGCACTGGAGCCCTGTCCACGTCACGCGGCCTAGACAGAGAAACCAAGACTGAATATATTCTGGAGGTGATGGCCACGGACCGAGGCAGCCCTGCTCTCAGCGCAACTGTCACAGTGGAAGTGAAAGTGATGGATGTCAATGACAACAACCCTGTCTTCAGCAGAAGTAGCTATTCTGTTGAAGTGTCAGAGGACGCTGCAGAGGGGTTCAAAGTTCTGGAGGTAAGTGGAAAGGGGATTTTAGATAATACTATGTCCAAACATTGCACAAACAAACTGGATATCTCACTTTGCTTACAAAAGTAGGGCCGTTACGGTATCATATTCCACTACAAGGTTAACATGGCCAAAATAATCCATAATAACCATATTATTGTGTTTTTAAAAGAACATTTGGAGAAAACCGGCTCATTAAACTTAGTATTTTACTAACACAATATTTATTTAACATTGTTAAATATCACAGTTATGGTCTATACTTTTATATCGTGGACATGCCAAAACCAAATATGTGCATATCTTAATAAAGGTAGTACTCATTTAATCCTAAAAATGCATTCTTCTATCTCCAGGTGTCAGCCACAGATGCAGACGATAACCTCAATGGGAAGGTTTTGTACTTCCTTAGCCCAGAGGCGCACGGAGCATTCAGTGTGGATGAAAGCACCGGTGTTATCACCACGGCAGCACCTCTGGACCGTGAAAAGAGGGCGTTATACAGCTTCCAGGTGTTTGCAGTTGACCTTTCACCTGCTGAACCCAGAAACACCTCTGCTCAGGTAAATAAAGGGGTAGAAAAACATTACAAATTTGTGATTTGTGAGTATTTATTTATGTTAATTACATTTTCAATAAACTTAACCCAGATGTGATTTATTCCTTGTAGGTAACAGTCACCATCCTAGATGTCAACGACAACACTCCCTTCTTCATCCAGGATCCGCTAGTCATCGAGGTGTCCAGCAGGCGTTCCCAGCGAGTGCTTGCCACCATGAAGGCCGAGGATAAAGACTTTGGTGCCAACGGTTCTGTGTTTTACCGTTTCGCCATGCCAGTCAAAGGCTTCAGCATCAACTCCCTGACTGGGGAGATCCAGGCCACTGAGCCACTGGGGGATCTGACCCAGGCTCAAAGGACCCTGATAGTGGAGGCCATGGACCAGGGCAGTCCAGCTCAGTCTGCACAGGGAGTGGTGGTGATTTACGTGAAGGAGGTGGAATACAACGGAATTCGCTTCTCTAGGAATGCCAGAGACGTCAGCCTACAGGAAAACGCTGTGAAAGGTCTGAAATTAATGTATCATTAGAGATAAATTCATCATCTAGGTTAATAAGTCCTCCTTTATACTGAGAAAAACTCTCTGCGATCACATTTTACTAACTTTTTCTCTTCTGTACTTCATAAATTCAGGCACAACTGTGGCTCAAACTCAGGCTCAACACCCAGATGGCACACGTAATGATATCAGCTACACCCTTTTCAGTGGAAACAGAAGGCAGGCTTTCAGCATCACCTCTGCAACAGGTACAACCCACATAAAACACAGTCATTATTGAAAGTGTTATGCCCTTTTACATTTTAATCAAGTGTAGATTTAAAAGACAAAACATATTAGTTTGTTTTATTTTTTAATGGTTTTCTGATCCTCATTTTGCACTTGAATCTTCAGGTGAAATCATGGTGAAAAGTCCCAATGGGCTGGACTTTGAAGATACCCCCAGGCTCCGTCTAGTTGTGAAGGCCGAAACCTTTTCCTCCACGTCTTTCATGGCTATAAACCTGATCCTGCAGGATGTCAATGACAACCTTCCTCGCTTTCAGCTGCAGAATTATGTGGCCTACATGAGAGAAGCACAGGGATATGAAATGCCCATCATACAGGTGATGGCTGAGGATGTAGATCAGGGCCAAAATGGTCAGGTGACCTACTCCATCCAGTCATCAGGCGTGAGCGGCCTGTTCAAGATCGACCCGATGACAGGAAGCATCACCACAGCAGCCATCATGGATCGTGAGATCTTTACCCAGACCAAGTGAGTACAGATCCACTCTCTTTGCACATTTTGTTGATGGATATATATCTGTAACCAATGTTTGAGCTGCTGCTTGAGTGTACAGCGACCTGTGTTTGTACGGCGACCTTGAGAGCCTTGAAAGGCGCCTATATAAAATAAATGAATTATTATTATTATTACAATAAAAGTATCTATCCACAGAGGTATATACTGTATGTACTGAAGAAAAAAAAAAAAAAGAAGACATTTCATATCACATCATAATCGCTCTGGTGCAATTTCTAACTGTAAATCACCATCATTTGAATTAAACTTGTAAGAGACATAACATAATTTTGGACAACCTTTTTTTCACCCCCCTCCACAGGCTTGTAGTTACAGCAACTGATAGAGGAATTCCAGGGTTGGCTGGTTCGGCCACATTGACAGTGATAATTGTTGACCAGAATGACAACAGTCCCACTATCCCTCTGCCCAAGGAAGTCCGCATGATTTTAAAGGTCCCATGTCATGCTTTTCCAGTTATTACCCGTCCCCCTGTGTGTTATGAAGGTTTTTCTGCATGTAAGCGGTCTGCAGAGTCAGAACCCCTCAAAGTACACCCTATAACGAGTGAAACTCTAACACAGAAATATGTGTCTATGCTCCGCACACACACACACTCACTCAGCCTTATCTTTTCTCAGCCACGGAGCTCCGTACACACACACACTCGGAGCTCAGGCTGTGAGTGTGTGTGTGTGCTCAGGCTGAGCTCCGCGGTGTCTTGCTGTCTCGCAGACCCCAAGCAGCAACCAGGAAACGACACCAGTAATCCAGCTCACACTGTCCGCTCCTCGAGCCTCAAAGGGCGGAGCAGCGAGCCCCGCAACGTCCCGCCAACACGGCACCCAGACCCCACGCAGCTTTTTCCTCTGTTTGTCATTACTGGTGTCATTTTCTTGTTGCTAACAAACGCCATTGTAACACATAAACACTGATGTCCAGCTGTAACGGTGGTTGACTAATCAGAACAGAGTGGGCGAGCTGACCAATCAGAGCACAGTGGGCTCATAGGGGGGGGGAGGGCAGGGCAGGAGCTCCAACAAGGCGTGTAGGACAGAGAGTTAATACACATACTATACAGAGATGCTGTATGAGAAAAACAATGTAATTTTGGAACATTGAACAATGTAAATCTATTCTAGTAGACCTCAACAATGGAATTATGATCAGTAGAAATGGCCATGTTATGGGACCTTTAATTTGTAGTCCATTTTATGTAGGTCAGTTTACAGCAAAATCTTACAATTTTAAAAACAGACAAGCCCTGTGCGAGAATCTGTACTTGTGCATCACAACTGTGCATTGGTTCAAAAACAAGGAAGAGCATACTTTAAGCCACAGTTGGTAAAATACAACTTACATGTTTTTGTTCAATCCCTTTCTCTACCAGATATGTTGATTGGCACAGAGATCACTCTCGTGACGGGTAACGACGTCGACTCCAGTCCGGCCCTGTCCTACTCCTTACAGCTGGACCCGACAGCATTAGGCAAGTTTGGGATTCACCGCTACAGTGGAGGCGTGTCACTCACTGCCCCTCTGGACTTCGAGGAGAAGACATGGTACACCCTGACTGTCAGAGCCACGGATAGCCAGCACCAAACTGAGGCCAACATAACAATACTGGTGGAGGATATTAATGACAATGCACCTGCATTCACCAACGATCTTTATCAGGTAGGAAGGCTTTTGAATCAAGACGATGTTCTGTTTTTGCCCTGGTACATTTATTCATGGTACAAAATTAGATTAGTTTCCATTGTTTACTACTTGCTGCCTGAGGAAACTGAGGAAATGCCCAGAATAATTGCGTTTATATTTAGGATTTTTTCACACCTTATAAAGTTTGATAGGCAATTAAACTCCCTAAGAAATCTTTTTTTGTTATCTTAAAGAACAAAAACTGCAATTTTACACACACGGTAAAAATCCCTCATGCACATTCCCAAGGTGCACACAGAGATAAAAGTTAACTGCAGAATGTTGCCTGGGGAAACGTTGCAGAGATCAGCTTGTTCCTTCTTTGCCTAAGGACAAAACAGGAATTACAATATAAAATTCAATTGTTCCATCTGTGAGTTTATTGCCCTTCGGGAATTTTATTAAAGTGCCTATGCGGTCCACTTTTAAGTTATTTGTTTGTTTATTTAAGTCATTTTCTCTGATGTTAATATGTTGTTATTAATATCTTTGCACCACAGGTAACTCTTCCTGAGCACACACCACCAGGTAGTGTTGTTATCACAGTAACAGCAACTGACAGGGACTCTGGAGAAAACGGCAAGATCACATACAGAGTGACGTCATCAACCCAGGAGGGATTCTACGTTGACCCTAATAACGGTATACAACCTTGGTTTCCTCAATGATATATATTAGCGCCATAAATGGGTTTTTAAAAAGGTCATATGTTATTCATTACATTTTAAAGATAAGTTCCCCAGCACAAAGTCTGACTTTCTGTCATCCTCTGTATCCAGGAACACTGTTCATCAATCACAGAGCGGAGTTCGACCCTGAACGTCCGTCGGTCAGTATTGTTATTGAAGCTAGTGATGGAGGCTCTCCTTCACTGTCCTCCCTCACCACTGTCCAGGTCCAAATATCTGACGTCAATGACAATGCTCCTGTGTTTCACCAATCAGAGTACAGGTCAGTGTACTCTCTTTAACACTCTGGTTGTGTTATGATGTAACCTCAACAGCTTTTTACAAATAAATGCTTTTCTCTGCCTGCAGGGCTACAGTTTCCGAGGATACCATCCCAGGGTCCACAGTTCTGACTTTCGAAGCCTTTGACAGTGACCTTTCCCGAGAAAACTGCGGCTTTGATTTTGCTATAGCCAATGGCAATGAGGGAAATGCATTCCAGATTGAAAGCAGCGTGCGGTTCCTGGAGGGGCGGGGCTTTCAGACCGTCGGGACTCTGCTGTTGGCCGAGGGACTCGACTTTGAAACCAAGCCCCTTTACAACCTCACTGTGGTGGTGTCGGACCGTGGTGTGCCCCAGAGGAGCTCTAGTGTTGCTGCGGTGATAACCATTGGTGATGTGAATGATAACCCTCCCGTGTTTAGCCGAGCAGAATATACCGTGTCTCTGAGTGAGGGAGCTGCCGCTGGGACTGAGATCATACGACTGACTGCTACAGGTGAGCAAACGTCTACTATTATATACCCAATAATCTCGTATTTTCAATAATCCCCGCTTACTTTGTCCTCCAGTTAATTAATCATACTCTGTTGTTGTGTTTTTGCCAGACCCGGACTCAACTCCCAATGCTGAGGTCCAGTATACTATCAGTTCTGGAGATGAAGTGAACTTATTTACCATTGACCAGTGGACTGGAGCCTTGCGACTTCAGCGAACACTCGATCGTGAGCACCAACCCACACATGTTGTCATCATCCAGGCCACAGATGGACAGGGTCACTTTGCGCTCGCTCCAGTCATTGTTGAGGTCAAAGATGTGAATGACAATCATCCGTTCTTCCCTGTGGAAGTCCTCACAGCCAGTATCAAAGAAAACCGGCCAGCAAACTCAGCTGTGACTGTTCTTCATGCCATTGACCACGACACAGGTGTTTTTGGCCAACTGAAGTACCACATTGTGGAGCGGTCTGCGGCGGGAAGAGACAGCTTCACTGTGGACCAGAACACCGGAGAAATCAAAAGCAAAGTTCCCTTTGACTTTGAGAAGGTCAACTCCTTTAACTTTGTAGCAGTGGCAGTAGATTCAGGAAACCACTCGGCCACTGTTACTGTACAAGTGTTTGTCACAGGTGAAGATGAGTATGACCCACTCTTCACATCCTCTGAATTCTCCTTTGAAGTCCCAGAAGGAGCTCAGAAAGGCCAAAGCATTGGACAGATCCAGGCAAATGATGAGGATGAAGGGGTGGATGGTATTGTTCTCTATTCTCTTCCCACCAGCTCTCAGTACTTTGGTGTAAACAAAACCACTGGGGTCCTCTTCTTAAAGTTGGACGGTTCAGGCAGCAGTGGTAGCAGCGGCTCAGGTCGGGGCAAACGGGAAACCAGGCTGATGACCGTAGATGTGAAAGCTCACAGTCCTCTAGATGCATCTCGCACCACTACAGCCCACGTCTCCATCGACGTCTCAAACACCAACTTCGGCCTGACCCAAGATGTCAACATCCTGCTGATCTGCATCATTGCTGTGTCCCTCGGTTTTATCGTATTGCTTGTGATCATGGCTGTGGTGATCTTCCTTGTCAAGTCACGCAGAAAGAAAAAAGCCCAAGATGCAGGAAACAGGACTGTTGCATCAGGAACAGCTCTGCAGAAACTAGATGATTGCAACTCAAGGTCAGGAGGGGAGAGGATTTACCACCAAGCCTTGCCGGGCTATGCTGGAGATCAGGGTGTGGCTGGAGGTGGACCCTACACTAGAGGGGGCTCCCTGGATCCCTCTCACTCCAGTGGAAGAGGATCAGCAGAGGCAGCGGAGGACGATGAGATCAGGATGATAAACGAGTATCCCCGCGTTGCCTCCATCACCTCGTCCATGCAGGAGCACATCTCTGCCAGAGGACCAGACTCTGGAATTCAGCAGGACGCCGATCAGCTCTCCGATATCTCCTGTGAGCCGGCAGCTTTGGAGGGCAGCACTTGGTTCAAAGGAAAGAAACTGGGAGGCAGTATCAGTGGGACCCTGCTCTCTGGTCAACTACCGGTCTATAGGGATGAGGGAGGTGGGTACCTAGGAGCAGGACGTGGCCTCAATATTACACTCCCCAAGGATTACGCCTTCCCAGAGGATGGTAAACCTAGAGTGGATGGTTCCCTCACGGCTATTGTTGCCAGTGATGAGGAGCTACGCGGTAGCTATAACTGGGATTACCTACTCAACTGGTGCCCTCAGTTCCAGCCTCTGGCTAATGTCTTCACAGAGATCGCCAGGCTGAAAGATGAAACTGCACATCAGACCCAGAATCCTCGTCAACCTTTCCAGCCAAAGCACAAAATGGATCCCAAACCTAGAATTGATCCTCCGCCACTCATCACATCAGTGGCTCATCCAGGGGCCATGTCAGTTCCCCCCAAGGTCCCTGTGATTGGACGGACATTCCCCCACTTGGCCTCACTCCGCAGGTCCCCTATCAGTCATGAGGGATCCATTTCCTCAGCAGCGATGTCCCCAAGCTTCTCCCCTTCGCTGTCCCCTCTGGCAGCTCGATCTCCTGCTATTTCTCCCTTTGGAGTCAACCAGGGGCCGTCAGCGTCCATGATCAGCACCAGGGAGCCCTCGCTGGACCAGAGTCCAGATCGTGAGATGAGAATATGATCTAGAAACTAAACAAATATTTAAGTCAGACAAACTGAATCCTTTTGGCTGTTCTTTTGATGGAATGAAAAAAAGCCAATGGAGGGGGCAGTTGTACTCTCATTCTCAGAAACAAAGTTTCAGCATGAGAAAGGAGCTTAAAAAAAATGAGGTGTGTTTCAAGTGTCTGACCAAAATGAATTTTGGACAATAAACACATCCACAAAAACATACTTAACCTTCTCATGGTAGAATATGTGCATACTTTGAAGTATTTCCATTGATCCGCAGTGTCACAGGAATATACAAAATGGGAACATGTGCCTGGGTTGACAGGACGGCCCACCCTCACAACAGTGACGCAGGTCTCCATGAACTGATCGGGGTTAAGGGCTAAACTGACCTCTTCATGGGAATGTGCTCTTACTATGCCCTGCAGTCAGAGATCCCTTAGTGTGTAGATAGATACATGTGTAGTTTTCATGTCCCTCGCTGGCTGGCCAGGGAGCTAAGGACCTTGCTCCTCTCTTTGTGTCTGTGGACATTTTTACACTCCAGTATTAATCTCATCTAGTGGCTGCGTTTAAAATGGCCTCTGGACAAGTGTGTGTGAATCCCATGGACATACAAACAATGTGTGTTCACAAAAACACTGATTCATTGAACTGACAATGCATTAAACAGTGGAGCAGCACTGGTGATTATGGTTTTTCACACCAATTCAGATGACAGTTGTTTTCATTTTACTTTTATATATTTTTATATAAAATTATTATTTCAGATCCAGAAATGCCATTATTCCACATGGGAGGTTATTGTTATTGTGTATTTGCATATGTGTATATTTGTATGTATGCAGGCTACTCTATGTACTGTATGTGTCTCCTAGGTTTTAGAGACTCTTGTGATGGTTCTGATGTGAGTGAGAGGGGGATGTTGTGTTTTTAGCATTATTTATATAAAAACAGGACTTGCTGCCACATTTTGACAGTAGGAAACCAAGCACAGCTCACACTATGCTGTGTTGTTACCTTAAGAATTTTTCTTTTTTTGTCAAAATTGTAGATCATCCAAAATCCAAAACAGAAACTGTATGGAAACCTGTGATTGATCTTAATGCCTGCTTCTCCAGTAGCTCAGCACTCTATTGTGGTGTGCAGTTTTGCACGGCAGCACATTCCCTTTGTTATTCAAGGGCAACTCAACTTGCTGTTCACCTCTGTGTCTTTGACAGAAAAAGTGCTTCCTGAAATGTACACCAGTCATTAACTTAAATGCATTTTACTGTGAAGTTGTTCATCTCAGCACAACGTAAATAACATGCAATGCATGGGCTGGGCTTTTCATAGGAAAGTGGAATAACTTGGAGAAACACGTGATTACGGAGTAGCACGTGATACAGACAAGTGGGAAGCAAATCCCTGAACTCATTAACCCTGATGAATGTACAAAGATTAAGCAACCAGCGCAGTATTTATTTTCCATGTTAACTCTCAGTTCTGTGCATTTTTATTGCTATATGATTCACTCTTCTGTATTGCCACCAACATGATGAGGTGTTTTCTGGTTCCATGTGTTTAACTCATCATCTGCACCCTTTCTTCTGCTCTCATTGTTCAGATCGAGTTTTACAGATCTGATTGCCGAGCACGAGGCAACAGGCTTCAAATGTGTATTTCATTATCTCATGCGTATTTATCCTATTTAATATTTTTCGGGTATTTGCAGAGATTGGAAGACTTTTGTTTTCAAAAGACGGCTTCTACCTCTGTTCTGTGTTCAACAAAACGCTGCAAAACCCCTCATTCAAATTTGGCATTGGTTTAATCAAAAACTTCACATCCAAAAAGCCTAACTCTAGCACATCATCTATCCAACTCATAATCATGCTGTAAGGACATTTTCTGTCTTGGAGGACCTCCATTTGGACTTCAGTTTGAGAAGACTGTCGGGGACTGATCAGTGAAGCAATGGCAAAAAAAAGAAAGCTGTACATGTATTTAAAGCAAATAATAAATTCCTACTGATCTCTTTTGACAAACTAGAGTCAGCCTCATCTTTTTCAGAACTCATATCAAGGCTTTCAGGGAAGAACTGAAAATGTATTTAAGTTTAAAAGTCTTACAGTTATCTTAGCTGGGAATGGTAATTTTGAAGCGCTGTATTTAACTGTAGAGAGCTTTTAATAAAATGAAGGGAAGACTTGGCTTTGGGCAGAATCACAGCCCAAATGATGACAGCAGCAACAGACAGAGACATACATCCAGTATGGTCACCATCTGGCTTCTGGAAAATTACTACATGTTCAATAAACTAATCCAGTTTATTATCATTATGATATTGAATTTGGTTTTATTTGTTTAAATTCAATCCAAGGAATTACATTTAAAGGACTGATTTCCTACATTGTTCCAAGATGTTAACAACCAATACTGACAAAAAAAACATTGTTACTTGTTATAACTTACAACATAACATTTAAGCGTATCTTAAAAGTATGTTTTTGATCAATCCTGATGCACATTAAACAACATCAAATTGACTGAGATTATCTGCACATTTAAACCCTAAATTGACAAAATGTGTACATCCTGAAAATTGCAAACCACAAACAATTTCTTATATTTGCTCCTTACAAAAAGGCATCTATTAATTTTCTATCATAAGATACATTCAAAGTTAGCCTTTAGAGGTATTGGAGAAAACTGAGGTCCAGCCAAGATCCAGTCAGCAGTGGATTCAGTTCTCCCAGCTCATATAAAGGCATATGATGTTGACGTAGCTGAATAATTGCAAATTGTTTATTTCATATGGAGCACAGACATGTTTGCATAGCTGCTGAGGATTTCTGCCTCATTTGGTCATCACACACAACCGTGCAGTGGTTCTGTGTTATTGTTATGTACAGAAGGAGCTGGACATGGATTTTGACAAGATGGTGGAGAAGGAGCCAGATCCAAGCTCCTGCGGAATGAGGACTGCCAACGGCACACA